CCCCCCCCCGCCCCCCATTTAAGATACTTCCCCCCCCCCCCCCCCCCCCATTTGATGCATAGACCCCCAATGTACGATGCAAGATACCGAGTCGGAATGGATTGACAATTCGTCCCCGTGTTTCACCCACAGATCCCGTCGCACAGTATAGAGGAAGCCATGGTGGACGTGGAAGTAGGGAATTCATGGGGGTATGTCCACGTCCCGGCCAACTTCTCGGTTGCCCTCATGGATCGCTTCCTCTACGCTGCCGAGGCGAGCAACGAGACCATCGACATGAGCACCATCGACGTCCGCCTCGACATGACCAGTAAACAAATCGGATACACATCCAGTACATGGAGTAAAAATAAAAAAGTATAATATAAAATAAAGTGGTATAAAGTTGAAAATGAAAATAAAATGAATAATATAGTGAAATATATGTATGAAATGAAGCTAATTAAATATAAAACGTGGTGTTGCAGATCAGCAGGTGGCATTCATCGTGTCCCGGGAGATCCTAAAGGCGTTCCATTCGTTCTTCAAGGCCCTGGTTGTTGACTACGGCTACAGCTCAGAGCTGGCCTCCATCCCGGTCAAGGTCAGTCCATTCTGGTCTCGGTCACGGGCTTTCCATTCACGGATCGGGGATTCTCATTTGGTCGTTTTTGTGCGTGTGTTGCTGGTAGTTCGGGCCGCCGATTCATGGGGTCCAGGAGCCGCTGTTTACGGAGTACGTCGCACCGGGGATCATGGTCATGTGAGTTTGTCCCTTCGTGAAGGGGGGGGGGGGAACCAGTTACCGATTACCAATTACCAATTACCGATTACCTTCTTCCCGCAGGATTATATTCTACATGGCATTGGGACTGACAGCGATGGCATTCGTCTTGGAGCGTAAACAAGGTCTCCTACAAAGAAGCTACGTCGCCGGTCAGTCCCCTCGTCGACCGAATCGAGTTCGAACGAAACTCTTTTTTCCTTTTTCTCAATTTTTGTTTTCCTCGTTTCAGGCGTGACGAACGTGGAGGTGATGGTGGCTTACCTGGCCACCCAGATCCTGGTCATGACCGTCCAGATCACCTTCACGCTGGTCTTCCTCCTCGCCGTGTTCCACGTGCCAAATCGGGGCTCCATCGAGCTGGTTATCCTCGTCGCGTTCCTTCAGGGTCTCTGCGGGATGGCTTTCGGTGAGGAGACGGAGTTTTGGCTTATTTTTTTTCCTTTTCCGGTGTTTTTGCGTGGGGGGTTACGCAATGGGAACAATGCAGAAGCTCATCAATTCATGCGATCCGCGGTCGTTCCTCGTGCGTTCGAGTAATTAAAGTATGCGACGTTACTTCCCCCTATCGGGCCAGACGGAGAGACTCACTTTCACGGATCCTTCTCCCTGACGTGAATCTCAAAAGCCCTTTCCGCCACGGGCAATATGGAAATGAAATGTTTGGATTTTATTACGTTTCATCAGTCACTGGATCCTTGGGAGCGGAGTTCCCTACAAACGCACCGCCGAACCCCATCCATCATCGGGGTTGCTAAGCAAAGACTCGGCGCTCGTTAAATACCCGTCGATTGCTGCCCCGGGCCGACGCCAGCGCCTCCGAGGTTCCCGACGCCCTACCGTTTCGGGGTGACTGATATCCTCCCGTTTTCCCTTGCAGGGTTGCTGATATCCTCCTGCTTCTACGAGGAGACGAGCGCCGTGATCGCCTGCTTGGGCAGCTTCCTTCCCACGTTGCTCCTCAGCGGTACGTGGTCCTTCCATCTGGTTCCGAGTCGTTGGGCACGCTTTCCTTTAATTGCAGCGGTTCTCAAGGGGGGGGGGGAGATGCCGTGGGGTCTGTGGAGGGGGGGGGGGGGGGGGGGGGGGTTCAATGAAAGGCTTTTCGACGTGGGATGCCTCAAGCCGGGTGGGTAACGTGACAGGATCACGTAGCGTTGCGAAAGCTTATCGAATTGATATTTGAAATTTTTTTTAATGTTCCTGAAACGTACCCGGTCTTGCCAGCAAGCCTTTTTTTTTTTCGAGCAAAAATCCAAAACGTACCCATTTTACCGCCAAGTCCAACCAGCTTACCACGAAGTGCAAGCATGTTTACCGCAAACTTCAATTACTTACAGATGTTTTCGCGATCCCACTGATCGTGCAGGCAGGAACGAGCCGCGGGGGCTTCCCTCGCCCTACATCGTGCGCAAGTAAAGAAAAAACTGTTCCCAGGAGTGGGACCGAATTTTTTTTTCGGATCGTGTTTTTGTATCGTGCCAACAAGGAAGGAAATGTTTTCTCAGGGATGTGCAAGAGTAAAAAAGAAAAAGTGATAGGATACCCAAGGCTATGGGAAGGTTCCCCCCTTCCTCTCCCGATTCCGTGCATCGGATGCAGTTGGTGCCGACTGAACACCGCCCGCATTTTAGGTGATTGATAAATAAAAAAGTTTTTATGCGGTGCCTTGTCCCATGGAATTTGGTTCTGTTAAGATCAAGGACGTTCTTTCTCCATCTGGTTATAAACTGGCCACGGGAAACAAAGATATTAAAATTTAGGCGTTTTATTGGTTCGCCCTGTAGGAATCCCCTCTCCCATCGGTAGTAAATTTGCATGGTTTCGATGAGTTTTCTTTTATCGAAAGTACCCATTTCGTGATGAGGTTATGCTTGCAGCTGTGGATTTTTTGGGAGAATTCCTTTCGTATTATTGCCTGAAGATGCTCGTTGGAGTCCAGTCTGCAAAAATATCGACAAATGAACCGTGTCTGGTGAAACAGGTTGAGCTTAGCGAGAGATTGTTTGCACTAAACTTTGAATAACTACGTTATTGGCAGATAGATTGCGCTTTGCAGAAAACTTGCTGGTAAATCTCGGGAAAAATTGCAAATATGTCGCATTTGGAGCCAGAGAAGAGTTTACAAGCCTATTTCTCGAGACGCTGAATTCAGTCGCGTTGAAAACTGAAAAAGGTTTTTGTACCGAGACAAAATGAAAAAAATTGAAACTGGAGAGAGAATTCGATTCGGCAAAGGTTAGTGGCAGGCAGGGATTCCCCGGGAGATTTTCACTTGAAACACTTCCAGCCATTGCGGTGATGGCGAATATTGCGGGGAGCGAGGACCCGTGGGAGGGGGGGAGGAAGAAGTTCCACGTCCCCTACCTCGTTCCGAGCCGGGTTGCGATGGGGGGGGGATCCAGCATTCGCGTCACGGAGGGGGACGTGTTGCTTAACCGGTTCACTGAAAGTCTCTCTCTCCTCCTCCTCCCCCCCCCCTCTCTCTCTCTCTCTATTCACTGAAAGTCTCTCTCCCCCCCCCCCCCCCCCCCCCCCCCTCTCTCTCTCTCTCCCCCTGCTCCCCTCCTGGCCCTGTCACGTCGCAGCCTGATTGTAGATGGGTGCCGCGTAAAACAATGAATCATAATGAGAGCCAGGTGGTGGAAACGCGCTCACGAGCTTGAGCATGAGGAAGTCGCGGGGTAATTGATGCATTACTTTGCCTTATCTGATGGGTGAATGAATAAATGAATGAAAAGGGGAATGAATAGTATAGTGAAGGGATGAATGGTGTATGCAAAGTCGTGGACCAATCCATCATTCATCGACGTAATTTCCCTTCAAATAGTTAATCGTAATGAGATACCTGTTTTTTTTTTAAATATGTCCTGTGGGTGTTTACGATGGGGTGGGTACCTGTGCGAGGGAGAGAGAGAGAGAGAGAGGGAGGGAGAGAGAGCGAGAGCGATGTGGGCATCTGTGGATGGCGTCACATGCGGAACTAGTCCGTGATGAAGCCGGGGATGTGGCGCAACGCCTGATTATGGGGGAATGGGGGGGGGAGGGATGGTCCTGTTAATGACGGGTCGGGAAGCTTCTTCGACGGAGGGCCGGGGAGGGACACGAAGTGAAATCTGGAAAAACGGCTTCTGCACCTGTTTGATTTTTTATGCGTCTTCCGCAACTTCCGATGCCCCTCGGGACCGCAGGGTGCTTCTCGGGGCTCGTATCATTAGTCGTATCGGTTCCCCCTCGAGATGACGAAATCCGCGGACTCCCTCGCCTGTAAACTTGGCAATGAAAGATATCGATGACTCGGCAATGAGTTCGATGAGATGACTCACCCGAAAAATTCGAGGGCCTTTCACTCGGACGCGCGGGAGAAGGGATGCCGAGAGCGATCGCTTCTGATCTCGTCCCGTCGCGTGACCTTTTACAGGGATGTGCTGGCCGCGGGAGGCGATGATCACGCCCCTCTACTACATCAGCGGGATCCTGCCGCAGACGTACGGGACGGACGCCCTGCGGAACATCATGTCCAGGGGGCTGGGGATGGAGAACTTCTCCGTGTGGATGGGCTGCGTGGCGCCGACCGTCTGGACGGTGCTGCAGCTGCTCGCGACGGCGCTCATCAACCGGTACAACGACGGGGTGTTGTGACCGGGAAGAGGATATTACGCCCTCCTTTCTGGTCCTTTTCTGTCTGCCATGCGAGATGGGATCTCCGGCGGTGGGGAGGAGTTCAGAAGTTCTCTGCTCATGGCGTGGATGATGTGATGCGTCCGTGTTTCTTGTCCTCTCCCATACGCATACCACTGTTCGTATATGATCGTTTGTTGGAATTATCCCCGCTACGCTTATTACCGGAGAGGATGGATTGCAAGAGGCCACGAGTTGCTGCGAGTGATCGTATCCTTCGTGTCTTCGGTCGCACGCCTGTAAATACGACAAGCGTGGAGCGCATTTCTTTTTTCAACGAAAAATTTTTTTATTGCTCTTAATTGAAATTGTATCTGAGTAACCTCATCCATTGTACCAAAGTTGTTTTCCTCGGCGCGTGCGTCGTGCGCTCGGACGCTGTACATAGCACGCCGCCGAAACGCGCAGGACCGTTGTAAATAACCGCATCCCGACAGTGAATGAATGTGTGAACGAAAGTGACTGAATTGGGCTCGGAACGAAGAGTCTGTGAACGAGTGCTTACCAGGGTCGGTTACCGATAAGGAGACGGAAATTCATGCCAGTATCAAGGTTGCTACAATGTATTATGAGTAACGATCGTATTTCCCTTTTAGGCCTACTTAGTGACATATGCTTATCTTCGAACGACGGAATATTCCGAACAGTACAACGTCGTTTCACTTGACGCCCTCCCGGGGAGCATGACGACCACGCACGCAGGAAGCATCCGCGCGCGCGTGAAGCCTTGCTGCGCCCAAACACAATGCACCAGGGGTCGCGGCCCGTGGAGGGCCCGACCCGGCGACTCCGGCAGTCGATGGCCTCGACGAGGGGGGAGGCTCGCCGCGAGAAGGCGGGGGTGCTGGACGGTTCTTCCGCGATTCCTTTCGGGTTTCGCGCGGGACGCCCCCTAGTGAGAATTGATTGTGAAAATTTAAGCAGTAATTCTTTCATCGATCTAATGTTCTCTATATCTTGCTATATCTTGTCGATGCACAAAGTTCTGGGGTAAGAAACACCATTCGTTAGTCTAAAAATGGTTCTCTTTTTTCACGAAGAGCCAACTTGTAAAAAAAAAAAAAGACTCCGCTGCTGCACTTCCATCTAGATTTGCAAGAACTTGCTTCCACAATATGCAGCGTCACCTGCATGTTGCTGAAATAATCCTCATTCCAGCTTGGAGGAGGAAGATGATGAACCTATTTCAAGGATACGTTCCAGCACCCCACTTTCCTTCAGTTTTCAAGGGAAAAAAAATCACTTGATTGTTCAGTTCCTTAGAATTTGACTTTTTTTTTAGCACAACCCTGTGAGAGACGGAAGCTTCCAAATTACTTGATCGAAAGTTATTTGAGAGACTCGAAGCCCGAATTGCATTGTGTGTGCGTTGCCAGCTCCAAGTGGTGGTCCTGATGTTCAACGTTGAGGGGAAGAATGGGTTTATATGGTTGAAATCAGTTTTTTTTTGCATATTTCAATGAGATGTATACAAATTTTTAGAAACTCTTGAACAAAAGGCTATTGCAGAATCTGTGAATAAAACTCAAGTCCATATGATGGCGATGTTCGATTCCGTTTCGTACTCGACCGGCCATTTTAGCCGTCTTCCAGCCCCTTTCTCCGGGGGAAAAAAAAAAACTCGTGGTCGCTGTTCGCGAACCCGGAGTGGAATTATAATCGATTGGGTCGACTTTCGCGGTTTTGGAAAAAAAAAAACTCCGGAGATCCCAAGTTCAAACCGTTTGTCAGTGCTTCGAATTTTTTTCGACGTCGAATTGTCCGCAGAGAGAATGAGATGATGCAATAGAAGTGATAAGTGAATAGAATAGCGATAGAAGTGTTACTAAAACACTAATTTCGAGACGAGTCCACTTTCTCCTTGGGCAGTGGATTCCAGCACGGTGGAATGAAAGCGCTTGCACGCGCCGTGTCGCATCGCCTTTCGCGACTGGAAGGAAAACGAATCGTCGCTCTCCGTCGGAAGGCGTGGGCGATGTTTTTGCGACGAATCTCGAGAGTTCTGGGACGGCTCTCCTCTGTCTCTGCCGAATCAGTGCATCACCGATCCCCAAAAAAGATTGCATTTCCTGCACTTAACGGCACACATCGACCCCAAATGCACGAGCCAATTTTTGCGTGCACTTTTTCGGTGATGTCGAAGCGCAGAAAAAGATCAGTCGAAATGCTCCTGCACGATTTGCAACGGGGTGGGGGAATTTTCGCGAACCGTTTTGCAACATCGTCGGTTGGGGCCGATTGTTCCCAGGAGAAATAATTTTTAAAATGCTCGATTGATATCGAGGAGCATTTGCAAGCCTCCCGTGTTCCGGACGGATATTAATCGATCGATAATAACAAGTAAATGATAAAATCTGAACGCGTTCCACACCGCAAGACTTTCCACGGGGGCCAGTCAGACTTGCTAAATCGAACTCGGAAAAAAAAAATCCGGCTCGATGGGAAGCTAATTTGCACCATTCGACTCGATAAAAAAAAAAATTCATGAGAAAAAAAAGTTAAGGGAGGGTTGCAGTCTGTGGAGACTTTTTGCTGTGACGTAAAAACTGATGGGGCATTTCCTGGTCCCTTCTCCAGCGACAGAATAGTTATAATATTTTAAAATATCGCGATGTGGAGACATGTCGCCGGTAAGACATGCGTCAAACGATATCGCGATGATCGGCCCAGCCGATTGCAGGGAACTCGCAGAAAAAAGACGGGAGTTCCAGGTTTAAGTTTTTAACCTTTAGATGAGAACGCACGGGAAAGCCTCGCTGCGAAATTATTTCTTTCCACGCCGTCTTCTTCGGGACAAAAAAAAAAAAAAAACAATTTGGAACATTTAGAAAAACTAACCCTGAAAGAGAACGAAAAAGCAGCTTTCCAATGACAATTAGCTGCGGAGTGGCTCGATCGATTATTTCTCTTATCGGTGATTCATTAATACGGTCCAATTCCTACGTGGATCCCACGAGTTGCATATGAGCTAATTGCAAGCAAGATTGTCCGCCGGTTGCGTAAGGAAGCAGGGCGGGGCGGGGCGGGGATTTTTGCAGAGGCTCGTAATGAAAGTTCTAAAAAAAAAAATGCTGAGATTTTCGTTTGCGGACTGCTTCATCGGTTCGATTCGATCCGGAAACAGTGCAGGAGATGCGCAAGCCCCTTAAAAAAAAAAAAAAATCTGAAAACTATCCAGTAATCTGTATTTCTAAATATATATACAGACTATGGGAATATTTTTTGGAGCCATTGTATTCCGGTCAGTCCATTCTTGGGTTCCTGCATGATCAGTGGGGCACTCGCGGAGCAGGCGAGCATCCACACGGTCGCAATGGTCGCTGGAGACTCCACCATGTGCTTCGTGCACATTTTTATTTATTTATTTATTTTTTACGTTTTTATTTTTATTACTGTACATTAAAAAAGTATGTAAAAAATGACAATATAAAAAAATTACAAATTTAAAAAGAGTGCCCCTGCGCCAAACTTCGCGAGAACTTTCCCTAGTTTCATAGAAAATTTTGGAAAAATTTTCCGCCTGTACAAAGAAGAAAAGCGACGACACGAAACGAATTCTTGGTGAAGCCAAAAGCTCCCGAAACCGAGGCCTTTGCCTGCCCGCCTTTTTCTGCTTTCAATGCGGAATCTCCTATACTGGGTTGCGCAAAGAGGGAAATTACGAGCCGTCCCTACGCTCTTTCCTTTTTTGCACGAACTATTATAAATTCATAGGGTGGTTCCCTTTCCCCCCCAAGCAACCCTTGGATCTGCCATATATCCTCACTCTTATTAATATTCATTAAATTTTGCTGGAAGACACACTTCTAGGGAAGGCACGATCAGCTCGGCGCGGCGCGTGGGTTGCCCATAGAGCATCGGCGGAGGGAGCATAAAAGAAAGCGGGCACCGTGGCCCCCTTCGCGATCCCCGCGATTCGTCTGGCCCCTTCCCACGCTGGCTCTCTCTCTGTCCAGGTTTGTTGGGGTGAGGGGGGAAAATTCCCCCAATTCTGCTTGGAACCTCAACCCGATCGAAACCGGATGGCTTGCCCGGTAGAATTCGAGTTTTACAAATTTGATCCTTAAACATCAACGGGAAATTCTCAGGAGTCGGACTTCTTTTAAAATTCACATGGGAAATGCTTGGGCACTAAGTCCCCTCCCATTCTGACAGGAATGCTATCACTCGACTAAACTGTGCAGAAAGTTTTGGTTTCGTTGTTCTTTTCCTGAATATTATTTTACCAATAAAATATTGGCAACCCTCTAGACATCAATTAACATGAAAATCCGTCGAGTGATGCTAAATCAAAAGGGACACGTGTTTTTTTGGGGGGGACCCCCAACGCTCTTTTGTTGAGTGGACGGATGCCGGCATCTGTTGGGCCGGGTTCGTGGAACTTCAGTTGAAAGACGTTTCGCATCTCGGGAGTACTTCCTTCCGCGCGGACGGAGTTTGACTACTTCTGTCCTCGCTTGCAGGGTCGGCGTGGTGTTTCTCGCTTAGCGTCCTTCCACTTTTCCACTCTTAACCGATTGCTACATCGGGTGAACCTGTAGGAGGGGCAAACAGCGCTATGCATCAGAATAGATCGAGACTTCATAATCGCCCCGTACCCACCCACTCTGCTCAGAGGGAGAAAGCATCCACTGCATCTCTGCGTTTGGTAACGTGGCCGCTGTGACCTAGATGACTCGACGTTAATTGAAGTGGCGAGTCTTGGTCGGATGATCGAGGTTGGACGAATGTGTAACTCTTTTCTAGAGCATTTCGATTGGGTTTTTTTTCTTGGGGTGTGGTCATGCATGTTTTCATCACCTGTGTCGTCTTTGGCAAAGAATAATGGCGATCGATTCTGCATGCAGCTTTTGAAGTAGCTGAAGATATTCTTAAAGCACAAATGCTAAATTCATTGAACTTGAATAAGTGCGAAAGGAAGACAAAACAGGATGTGATTTCATTCACCCATGTATACTGTATACGCTGCCCCAGCTTTATTTGACCATTTTTTATTCAGAATATGATACGTTGTTAATACCTCTTCTAGAAACTATCATGCTCCATCTCACGTCCTTGATTCTGAGGAATAACCCTGCACCATAATTTCTACTCTGTCGGAGCTTTGCGGAGCACAGGGATATCCAGTCTCCCATTCCTCTCTGATAACTTTCCAAAATCCACCCCAAAGTTTTGCTGCGCCGATTCCCGAGGGCACGCTTCAGCAAACCAAGCGCACAGAAATCCAAACCCTGTTTTCGGCACTGAATCGACAGGTTCTTTCCACAAACAGAAAGGTACAACCGAGTTTCATCGAGAGTCATAATTTACTTTTGCCATTCACCGGCCAGGTGGCGCTCGCATGAGTTGCAGGTATGTGTATTCCTCTCCCTGATGCGTTTTGGACCGAGGACATGGACTTTAATCTTGTGTTTTCCTTACCTTTTGAGATCCTCTTGAACGACCCTGCTGATAGTTCCCTTGGACACCGGCAGTCTGCATGCAAGTAATCTCTTGCCAAGTGGATATTCCATTTTCGAGAAATGGGTTTCTAATTACGTACAGGTCTTGCGTTAGACTTTATGTATGATATTCACATCTTTCTTCGCTTCTCACCTCTTTCAATTATAAATGATATCTGAGACAGCGCTTTTGGAAACGGGCCATCCATTCAAGAAACACTAACGAATTATCATTTTGTGTGAGTAACCTTTCATGGAAAGATGTTTCACGCACATCTCCACGACACAGTCAACATGCATCATCAAACGCCAACGCAATGGCCCCTTTTTACCCATGACAAAAGTTGACTTCTTGCCCAACAATCACACGTTACATGGATGCTATTCATCCTTTCCCCATATGAGTAAACGCATTTTTAAAATGGTCAAATAAAGCTGGGGCAACCTATATATGGCTTTGGAGATTCTCACACTTGCATGTAATATTTGTACAGCATTTAGCTGAATTGAAAAACATGATGCAAGTCAGAAGCTTAATGGTTTTTGTCAATGGCAAGTCCTTTGAAATTGTGAAGCTTCACATGAAGGAAATTGCTTTGCTAATGCACATGTATGGGAGGATGTCTGAGTGATAGGATAGCAGAAAAGGTCTGCCTAAGAGCTTAGAGGCATGGCAATCCCCATCCAAAGGACAGAGAAGAAGAAAGTAAATGTATTGACAAAAGGCACACACAGCACATGGTTTCCAATGTAGGCATGCTAAGTTTCTTGCAACAGCCATGTGAATGCATCCTTCACACATGAATTCAATTGAAGTTGTATGCAAGGAGAATGACCTATTGTTTAGCTTCTTGTAATTTCCTTTATTCGATCCATAGAGAGTTTTAAATATCAAGCTATGGGATTGATGATCCTATCCACACATTGGATGAGACTATTTACAGATACTGAGGAGGATGCTGAAAAATGGCGCCCTCTGAATGCACTGCCTACCCGACGACCAGGATGCCACCCTCCATGAATTCATGCTGAGGGACTTCTAAGTTCAAAGGGGCCGGTCCTTTCCTGATTCGTCCTGAAGCGTCATAATGGGATCCATGGCATGGACAGTAATAACCTCCAAATTCGCCTGAAAGATAAAAATCATAATTCTTTTCTAGTAATGCAGTAAAACACACATTTTTCATGCCAAGTAATATGGATGCAGTCTCATGAAAATCAGTAATTGGCAAGCACCAAATCAAATCTCCCAAGATTCCCAAGAACTTAATGGAGAGAGTGCTAATACTGCTACCATTATTACTATGATAAAGCGCAGACTAGATTTAAGCTAAATCTACTTCCTATGTTAGTCAAACCTAGTCATTGACTAGCATCTGTCACATTCAAGAGTATTTCCTTCCTATCTATTCACTTACAAAGATTGAAACAATCACTTGTCATAAATCTGGAAGTAGCAATGTCTTCCTGTTGATAAACAATGTGTATGAAAAATCACTCCATATGTTAAATTTCTAATGACTTCTACAATTTTTGTGTAATTTATGTAGTTCTAACATTTAAAGGTTCAGAATTTAATGCTATTTAATGTTCATCATAGTAGAAAACCCCACATATGCACTCTGTGTCATGAATAAACTTCTGAAGACATTCAGGCACATAGGCAACTATGTTATCACAAGAGTCCTCAGGAATATTACCCAGCACCTCAGTATTCCTGAGAAATGTTTTTTTTTAAATGCAGGATGGGACTCCAGCACATTTTGCCATCATCCATGTCTGGTTGAAAAAAATTCTCCAGAAGATGCATTAGCAGACATGAAACAATTGAACAGCCTACTTGGAGTCCTGATTCAACATCTTGTTGAGGTGGACTAAGGATGAGGTCTGCAGCTCAGAGCCTAGGGACATTAATATCTGAGAGAAATGGAATACTGAGGTGCAATGGGATATTTATAGGGGCTTTTATTGAAGTGTAACTGTGCCTGAACATCAGAAGTGTGTTCCTAATGTGGGTACATCAAATTTTGACCAGTGGTGCACATAAAATGACAACAATTTCTGAAACCTTAAAAGCTAAAACAACTTAAATAGCACAAAAACCATAGAAGTTATTAAAAACGTAAAATACAGAGTGCCTTTTCAAATAACCTGCCAATTGGCTCAGCATGCAGCAAGCTACCAGTGCAGATACGGTGAAAGAAGTGCAGCACTGACCAACGTTGGCGATGGGAACACATCCAAGATGTGTGCAGACACCAAGGAGGATCAACCACTTCGGATCTTTCGTGCGATCGGAATCGGCCTGTGGGTCCCTCAGCGAAGCTAAATCAACACTCTGCTCTGTCTTAATCTCTTCTGGAGTCCTGGAAAAGATTGAAGTTCAGATTCATTCATTGTGATGACCATCTACAGCATATATTTCACTGCAAAGCTTCATGAAGTCAATGAGGACTGGCCCTGGATCTAGGAGTGCACTAGAGATATGCAAAATCAGTACCCTTCTTCAGGTTACCTATTTAAAGGCATGTAACAGTTTATTTGGCAGAACCTAATGATTATTTTTATTCCTTTAAAAGAACCACTTGAGCATTACTTCTTGATTAGCTCTCAAAATGCAAGCTCAAATATCCAAAATTGTGCCATGAAAGTGTTAGCACTCAGGGCAGTATGTTAATTAAAGAGAGAAATATTTTTGAAATTACACTATTCCAATATATACCAAGACCAAGCAGTACATATATCTACAAAGTATATATATATATCAACAAACCTTTAAAATTCAAATAACAGAAAAAGTATGGGTGCAGCATTTCAGTAGATTTTTCCAAGAATCCCTTATCTGTCACACAGTCACACTGTCACACAACTATTTGTTTGCCACATGACTCCTGCTGACTAAGACAGAGAAACTTGTCTAAAATGCATGATCCAGGTTTTTGGATGTGCCTGTAATCTTTCAGTTGACAAAAATAAATACAGCTCCAATGATACAATCAGACAGGAAAAAAAAGAGGATAGGCCTTCTGCCAGAAATGAGGAAGACCCCTGATGCCACGAGAAGTCAACCAGTTAAACTGTGAAGGTACAGATTCATAGGGTGCACAACCATTTCTCCCTACCTGCTGTGCATTAAGCTTGGAGACAAAACCCTCCAGTTAGTAAAGAAAAAACAGAGGATGTGTTGAAGAGGCAGGCAACAAGATCTGCAATAGCATAGCAATAATTACTTGGTTCATGAGCTGCCACTGATGTGCTGTGAAACTCATAAGTCATGGGCAGAGCAAGATCTACCTTGAAACAGAACTTTTAAAAACTCTTTCACAGGAAAATCTTATGAGACAAGTCAATTCCTCAGGTAAACCCCAGGAATCTCATATTTAAAAAATGTCAACTTGAGGGTGATCATATTCTCAGTGATGGTGGCTATATGGGAACTGCAGGAGGAGAGGAATTTCCTCTCTTCAGTCCCAACAGTAATAAAAATGACATTTTCAGAGTGAAGATACATGACCAGTGATCACATTCATAATGAAACAGAACATCTTCAGCTAATTGATGTCCTTCAGCTGTAGGAAAGTTTCTGTGAATGAAGTCCTCATCTAATATCAACTGTAAGGGTGAAAATCTTGACACTGTGAACAACCTAAAGTGTGCTTCTGCTTCTCCATCATTCAACTTGGAGGAGAGAATGTTATTATGCAAGATGGCATACTACCAACCAGACAAAAGTTCTTATGTGATGAATCTAGACTAGAGGGGACACACATAATGAAAATATTCGCCATTTCCCAGACATCTTTGCCATGTCCCAAAATTTTTCATTTCTCTGGATCACATGAAAATCCTAAATCCTGCCTGCACCCACCCCATTAAAAAAAAAAAAGGGTCCTGTGGAAATCCTTCAGGATTTCTGACCTGAAGGGTGTCCTCTAAATTTACCTCCATGTTTTAATAATGAAATAAATATAATATCCTTCATTTTCTTCCATCCTAAACAGAACCCCCAGGGCCAATGGATTTCTCTCATCCCACATAATTGAAAACATTCAAATCATGACCAACAGAAATTCAGAAGAGGAAAGTGGACAATATGTAAATCATCACCACCTAAAGGAGACACAAAAAATTAAGTATTTCATCAGAAACCTTCTTTCTTCTAAAAGGAGACTTTTTTGCTCTGATGCCCAACAGTCTCTCTCATATGGGGGGGATCTAAGTATTTTGCATTAGCTGTATAACTTGTTATGACTTTACCTTAGAAATATCCTATATGCTAATTTTTGCCTCTATTAAGACACAATTTTAGCCTGCATACTGGCTGGGTTAGTTACTTGAAACTCATCAACAAATAGAAATTCTCACAGATGGATAAACACTGTCACATTCATGGGAATAATGCAAACTCTTGTTAGTTGCAAATGGGCAAAGAGAATTCAATACTTTTCACCCATTTTCCTACCTGTGTCGGACAAACAGGGGCTTGCCTCTCCATTGGAACACCACATTCTTTCCTTCTGGGATGTCAGAGAGCTTGATTTCAATCTTGGCCAGTGCCATGACATCTGCTGATGCACTCATTGTCATGACAAACTGCGTCACAGCGGACTTGGCAACATAGGCACTTCCAACTGCAAAAGCTACCACAAAAGAAAACATGATAAGGAACGAGTTTCTTTCATAATTTCAACCAAAAGGACACTGAAAACAGCTGATCTCCTTCTGTACAGTCCTCCCATAGCTTTTTTAATTTAAGACCAGAAAATCTACTTATTTCGTTCTTTCAACTTCAATTTTTCAACAAGTTTTCCTAGATGATATGAGTGCAAGTATTGTACTGGGTGCCACTACAGCACTACTGACTTCAACTTCAGTGATACTTCCAATTTTGAAATATTGCTAAAAACCTGAACATATTGCATGGCAGTAGCATGCAGGGATATCTAGAATGATGCAATCAACTTCATTGGCATACCAAACACAATCAAAATTGATATTTACTTATATGGAATGTACTGGCCATTACCCATTGTGAGAGACTGCATTGCTGCACCTCTACCTTCTCTGTAAAGAAATCCTGACTCAAAATTTATCTCTCTATTATTGCCTTACCTCCAGTGGTTATATAGGTGAATGCACGCCTAGAATCTGCAGAGTCTCTGTTACTTGCTTTGTTGTCTCGAAGGGAACGATGCCTATACTCCGAGAAGTCTGGAACCTTGATATCAGTATGTGCCATTCGGATTTGTTGGGATGCTGGGAAGAGATACACCTTGTGTAAAACAGTGGGCTTTGTAGATAAAATAAAATTAGATTGATATCCTCAGTGAATTAAAGAGGAAAGTATTTCATAGCCTTCTGTTGAAATTTTTTAAAAGAAGTTAATACCAATATTTTATTGGAGATACTATATGTCCCCAGCTCAAATGCATTAGAAAAAGATCGCGTAACAAAATAAAAGGATATCAATGGCAAAATCAAGGGATAGAAAAAAATGTAGAAAAAAGGAGGCTGGGAGGTGCACCATTAATCACTGAGTTCAGTCTCAGTCAAGCTTCACTTTAAGGTCAGTTTCATATGCAATATAAGATCAGTTGAATGATTTCTCACTGCAAAGTCCACTTGTGGCCCTCAGGACACCTGTGGGTAAAGATGTGTTCAAAGAATCTGATGTGAGTTTCACTGGCTTAGGGGGTACAATTATAGTCTCAGCAGCCAAGACAACAGGTGCAATAACAGGCTTCAAGGTAGAGGGAACAGCCTGAGAAGTGGCTTTCAGTGCACAGGCCAAGTTGGCCGATTTGGCCATGTAACTCATCATGGTGGTTGGTTGCAGAAGGCCTTGAATGACAGATGGCCCTAATGGGCAAAAGAAATCTGAAAATGTAAGGGAAAATGTGATGATAAGCATTTGACTATGCTAAGCCTATGAGGTATAAGTTGGACTAAACCTGACCATTGCTACAACTTGGTTTGGTTTGGAGATCCCCTTAAGTGAAAATTCATGTGACCTATTTCTAATGATGAGCTTTTCAATATCAAATCCCCATATAAATTACAATCAAGCCTTCACTGGAGACAGAAACTATAGCATAAAGGCAAGATCCTACACAAATGCATCCTGCTAGTCACTCTAGTTGAAATTAAGAATAGCATGGGATCGCAGTTTTGCTTATACTTTTCATGCAAAACCAGCATGGCTTAACCAGAATCTCTCTTAAAACTATGGAACACACATCATGTTTGCTCCTTGTTAGTGTTCAAATCAAATCCTTTGGATGGTAGCATATAGTGTTTTGTTTGTAGTGCTACATTTACAATGATGCCTTGCAGCCTATCACATCTTCACCATTATCAAGGAAACTGCCTTTTTTTCCTATTGCTTGAATAGATTACATTGACACAAATGATAGGGGATGAATTTTGACTCAATTCATTCTGGTCATTTTTCTCAAGATTTCCAACCTCTCAAAAAATATTTACAAATTAATCATGAATTTTTAAAAAATTTAAGATGGTTCTATTGATCCCCAGATAAGTGTTGTGATCAATATATGAACACAGTGACAATGAATTTAATTGGGAAATGTCATATCTTGCCACACTGACAGCACCAAGCACTCGTGTATGAATTACATACGATCCCATAGATATCACACATTGAATGGAGGTGTATCAAGTAAGAATTGCACTTTCTCTTAAATTCCTCATTGTAAGCGTGACTTACTTGCAAGGAAATGCTTGTCAGAAAATTAATATAGGACAAGGAAAGATAGGTGCGACTTATTGCAAAGTAAGCATAACATTAGGCTTATCCAAATGATATTGAACTCGTTAAATCATTGTTTCATCCCTTGAACGGTGTCGTATTGGAGGCTCAATCCTCATACGGCTAAGATGTTGCTCGAGGCGCATTTGGTTCGTCTTCACTCAACAAAAACTAGCCTTAACCTAGCCTGAAGTCCTGCCCAATAGAAGAGACATCGTGGGACACTTCTCCCCAAACGATGGTTGCAGCCTTTTTTTTTTGTTGAAGACGTTAAAAGCCAATACAGGCCGAGGGATATGGTTACGTCGAGTCCTCGCCGAACAACCACAGGTGAGCAGGTCTCGGGATCGATCCCCGATGATAAAGGATTCAGAAGAGCACATTAGGCTTGTAATGATTACAACCATGCTGTTTCACTCTGATGGGAAAATGAAATAAATTCAGTCAAAAGCCCACCAAACGGCTCCAACTAGCAGTCCTTGGAAGTAGCTATGCAGGCTGCCATCATAAACAGGGCGGTGATGGGGCTTAAACCACCCGAGCGACATCTATCCGACAAGAAGCATAATTTCCCCTTTCACGCGGGGATTTCGCATGCCGACTTCAGCTCAGAATCAGCTGTTGCGGTGTTCCTCGTGACTTTGATTGAGGATTTCATTAATCGTGGCATTTGCCAGTTGAAGTATTCGCTTATAAGGAGCTGGTGATCCTCAGAGGAACGCTGTCCATCGAGAGAAACATGCAAGCACCTCATTTTTGTACATAATTGTATTCTGCGAACATATTAACTCTTGAGATCTTCACATGGAAGGATTCTCTCTCCCGGACGATGGTGTCATCCGGGTCCACCATATCGACTGAGGTCCCGTATCGAGGGTCTAGCCTAATTGATGCTCGTTAGAGCTAGGTTCAAGCCAGGTTGAAATTTTAAGGTTCCTCCTCATTGTAGCTGGGTAGGATTGTCGTCCGGAATCATCTATCACATATCAAACATTTTCAGAAGACTTCAACACCTGTCTGTAGCTCCTCCCATGTTTGGCCTTTGTTATTCACAAGGCCAAACATGCTTAATGTAGCTTAAAGACATTTTACAGTATTTTTGGATTGGCTTTTACCTTTATTTACATATGCTTTATACTTTATGCTACATTGCTGAGTTATGAAGTAGTAGTTCCTTTGTTCAGGAAGGGATTTCACTCCATGAACTTGGCTTATCAGAATGCAAGTAATGAAAATTATGGTTACTGGGCTTCTCTTGAGCACCATTGATGTCATGGAAAGGGTAGTGTCATGTGTAGGTGGATTAAAGTCAATCTAAAAATAGTGTAATGCTATGCTGCCTGTTGCATACTGTGTTGGCCCTTGCTTTCTTCACATATATGACCTAATGCTATGATATGCTGTGCAGTTGGGGTAACCTTTCCTTTACCATTGGGACAAATTGTAGACTCAGCATTCAATGTCTGGTCAAGATCAACTAGGATCTTCTCAGTTGGGTTAGAAGCGGATATTGTGTTGAGTGTGGAACTGCATGGAGTCTTTTTGACATAAGCCTATGAAATTTGATTCATCAGGTACAAAATAATACTCACAGAGAAAGCTCACAACCTCCAGAATTGCAATTGGTGTGGCATTTTGGAGGACCTCTTGAGGAATATTACTCCAGTCCTGCTCTCAGTGGTTGGACCTCCAATCATTTGGAAGGATCTTCATAATTGGGCATGACTCCCTAAGGACTCCAATCTAAATCTCTGCCTTAGCTATCATCAAAACTGGATCCACAGTCATATCCGGGTCAGATGTGTGATCAAATTCATGTCAAGTATATATGTATACAATCCATGGAGATGTGTCAACATGCACCTCCTGCAGTTGGGTACGTCCACTCCCAGCTCAGCTGTGATCAGCAAGTCTTACCAGCAAAGTTACTCAAGTCTTAGGTATACAGATATATTCAGGCATACTGAGGTATAAGTATACTGTCAAAGCTGTCTTTTTAAGAAAATATTGAAAAAATGTAGATGGAAAAATTGTTCTATATCTTGGAAAACAGCATTAATGTCAATACCAAATATCAGCTTTCTATCTAGGGAAACAACAGAGGAGATAGATTTTCAAGAGTAAGAACTAGTAAACTGAGAAAATGAGGTGTTTGGAATGAAGGACACATGTTTTTCTGAGGAAATTACCAGTTTCAAAGCTCTCAGAAAGGGATTTTTTTTTTTCTTCTAAAAAAATTTTTTTCCTTCAGTTTCAGCATTTTTCTTGTACATTAAAGCACAGGTTTACAACAATTTGTGAATGCTAATTTTTCCATCACTTTTGGGGTTTTGAGGCCCTTTTCCAAAATCACTGTATGAACACCTATTCCAACTTCTGAGATCAATATCAATTCACTCCCACTACTCCCTTCTGAATGGCACCACATGCCATCCAACTTGAGTGACATTTGCCTTCTTAAAACAATTGAGCATGGCTATATGTGTGACTGGGAAATGAGTACTCCCCCCTTCCACTATAGTAGAGGGGTGTATTCAATCAAAAATCATTGTAATGATTTCATTGCCTATGCTTTCAGAATGTAAATACTAAACCATGAGATCTTGTCCTGATTTTTATTTTCTTTTGGAAAGTTAATATGAAATTTCTGTTAAGTGTTCACATGGGAATAGTTTCCAAATTATTATGGAAATAAAGAGTGTTAGTACAGATTTGAATTTTCCATTCTGATTTAATTCCGAACCTTTTGACTGTGAGAGAGAGGGCTCCTTTCTGGTTGGAACGAGCAGAGGGTGAGCATTGTCTTGAACAGAGGAAAATCAAATCTGGATCCCGTTCTCAAAACTCTATGCTTGTTTATCTCTGCTCCCCAGCCTTCCCAGACTGTTCATTTTTGCAGTCTGCTTTCTTTCGTTTCTCTGTTTTTTCCTGACATTTCTTGTCTGGGCCTGAATATTTCTTGAGGGGAAGGCTCGGTTTCTCTACCCAGACCTAAAAGAGTCGAGTTTGGTGCATTAGAACGAAAGTTGAAAATGGATTACTTCGAGACGTTTCCTTGTTGGCATCTAGCCTGGCAGCCCCACCGAACCCCCCACACGGAACGAGACGATTGACTCCTCTATACGTGTTATACCCTACCCCTTCCTGCATTGCACCTGCTTTCCACCCCGAAACCCAAATGCCACCTGCTCTCGTATCCCCCATCATGTGTCACATTGAGTGCCCTTCATCTTGGAACATCCACTCCCTGGACCCTGTGAGTTATCTTCCCGCC